GAAATAAGCGGCAGAGGATAAACTAAAATTAAGCTTACGTTATAATTCCTGCTGGCTGTGTGAAGGCAAGAAAAGATTTCTCCAACTCCTAAATTTCTCCGTAGAAGCGACGAACGCGTGTATCTTAAAGCTTCCTAAGGTCGTTCCCGTTACAGAGGTCGCGAAAAGATCGGGTTACGGGGTAGCGAAAGATGGCGATGATTAACTAAATTACAATAAAATCATGTGCGTAACGCAAGTGTGTTGCGTTGTTCGTGACACTTCTGTAATCCATGCTAGTTACACGACTCATCTTCCTTGGGTGATCAAAAGTCATTTATTAACCTTTGATGGTATCAAATCATGTTGACGTCACAACAACCTACGATGAAGGTCTACGGTGCCTTCCCCCCTCTTACTACTCTAGCCTCTTTTTATGTGATATTTAGAAATTTATCGCATATGTGCACGATCCTTCGCAGTAAAGCACTATTTAAGCAATAGTGAAAATCAGACCTGAAAAAAATTCAGGCCTGTACGGGATTCGAACCACTGACTTCTGCGATACTAGTGCAGCGCTTTACCAATTGAGCTAACAAGCCAACTGTATATGTGCACGATCCTACTGCGAAGGATCGTGCACATATACGTTTCATAACCGCAGTTCATATATATGTATTTCATATATATTTGTTGATTAAGAAATTTCATACTTAAAAATGAACTCAGTGATTTTCATTAACGAATCCTTTTTTCCAGGTTCCACCACAGTGGTTACATCCTCAAGCATAGCAACATCAGGTAAGATGGAATTTTGACCGCTCGTGATATTATACCAAATTCTCCGAACCAAAATCAAGGGGGATAGTTTGGCAGATAGTTAAGAAGAATTACTAAAGTGAATTACTAAAGAAATTTGACAGAAATGAATCTTAAGGTATCACATATCACGGAGATTTGATAACATGGCGAGACGATTTAACTTGATTTGTTTTCGATGCTCGAATTATTCCTCAACCAACTATGCGCCGTTGTATAACCTCTACCTTATCATTATAGCTTGAACAAATTACCTCCTATTTGCTGCTGTGCCATACGAGGGGCCCCGGCTTTTTCTCGAAAGTCCTGGTAACTGAACGGGTCCGAAACCATATCTTTAACTCAAAAGTTAAACAATAGAGAAGTAGTTTCTGGCACCCTGACCAGTGCATTTTGTTTCTCAAGCTAATAGTTTTTTAGTATCTTTTTCAAACTTTTGAAATCCCCACTTGGAATTTTTATGGGGCCGTTAAGTTACCGGGACCTTCGAGAAACGGGCCCCAGAGGACAAATGTACGCAACCATGAAGTGCTCGAGCAGAACCCTGGGCACAGGGCAATAACATTTGTAATGACTCAAATGACCTTGTTTTAGTGAAGGCGTTTCAAAAGAGTTGGGCATCCCAGGTTTCTAAGACAGAAGCCACCGTGGAAAAATAACAGCAACGAAAAAAAATAGTTATAATCAAATAGCTCGTAATATTCAGTTCATTGGTTAGAATTGACTACAGGTAGCTAACCGTTTACGGCGTGTTATCGATATCTTTTACATCACTAGTATTAACTTTACCTCTTATTCTCCAAAGCACCAACGACGACTCCAACAAGTTCAACTAAAGGAACAGAATTCTGGGATAAAGCCATTGACCTGGCCACACCCTTTGGTACATTTATAATTGTGTTGGCCGCCGTCGCTTTGATGCTTATATTCCTCATCGCGTGTATCTGCATCAGCGTGAGTTTGCTGCATTTGATTTATTTCATGTCATTCTAACTCATTTGCTATTGTCATCGTATATGTTTTGAAGATAAGTATCCAACTTCTTTGGTTTTGATCTTTAAAATCTTTCATCTCCTCGAACCCCAAGAACAGGTTTCATATTCTGCTAACTGCAGTCCCTTCATGCCTAATGATAAGCGGTGACGGGAAGTATTTTATTATTCAATTTAGATGGTAGCTATTTAATTTATTATCGCATCTATTATTATTATCCCTTTTTTTAATAGGCAGTTTACAACCAGTAAAAGCAATCTTTTCATCTGGATAGTAACATTAAAGGAACCATGAATATTTGTAAAGTCTTGATCAGTTGTAAAATTAACAAATGGTAAACACCACAGCGTACACTATTGAGTAATGATGCACGCGGGAGGCTGCTAAGCACGAAAGAAGCATAAGAGTCGCTTGAGGCGGTAATTGAGGGCGACTCTAGCTTCTTGGGAGCTCAGCAAACCTCCCAAGTGCATCCATAACTCGATAGTGTACGCTGCGGTGGTAACCATTTGTTTTTATAACATAAAAAAACAATTTATTGAGAAACATTTGCTCACTTCAGTAGCGAACGCCCATGGGCAAATAATAGACACTGAATTGGCCAATCAGAGCGCGCGCTTTATGTGATTTATGTTATATTGTAGGCAATTACCTAGATGAGTCGTCGGTACAGTTTCCGTTCTCCGTTGACTTGCAACTTTGTTTTCCATGTAAACTCGCAAACTTGCATCACGGTTGATAACCTTCATACATAAGTGAGTGCAACATGGAGTCGAAACTATCTGCGCCTCTAAAGTATAGAGGCTAAATAATGAACCAACAGCCAAATAAACAAGTTGACATACGAAAGCGCATCGATGAGCTATTCTGGTTTTCACTTTTCAGTGCAAGTATACGAAGCTCAAGAAGAAAACTGATCTAAACTTCCCAGGGCGCGGCATGGCGATAAATGATTCCGATTGGATACGAAGCAACGATGATCTTTTAATGTGGGAACGAAATTTGCGCGCTTCGGAAGTGAAAACATCAAATGGTATTTCTAACAGGCCATACAACGACAAACGAGCGTGAAGCGGGTCTAGTAGCAACACTGAGGGGTAAGTCAGTGAATTTAATGAAAAATTGTAAAATATCGTATAACACAAAGAAAACATTGTTATTATCATTCTTGGCATGTTCATCTTCTAGGAGCAGTCATAGGAGATTTCTTTCTTTGTTTCTTTTTCATTTCTCCAACTTCCTTTTTAGCCTCTTC